TTATAAGGGGGTACAGGGTGATCTGGTGCCCTTCACATGTGCATATTATGCAGTCTTGCACCTGAACTATTTCCTGCGTGTTAGGGGGCCCCTTTTAAATGTCAGCAGAGAATCCAGACTACACACTACAATAATGTTGAAACCATGTGAAAAAGATAGCATTGGAATAGGCACATATGTACATGTGTGAATTGGCAATTGTGTCAAATGAACCTGTCAAAAGTCAAAGGGACACCGCCTGCTTCATAAATATGCACGTGGCACTGGCACATGTACGTACATGTACAGTTGTACATGATATTGATAATCTGGAGTTCAATTTCACTTTACCTTCATGTGCACCAATTTGTGGAGCTGTGTGGCATGTACCCATTCCCTACATGACGCACATGTACATGTAAATTGTACATACATGTACGTGCACATTCACAATACCGAGCACAGACTTGTGAAAAAATCTTTTGCACTGCGATGCCTGGCGGATGCCTGGCCTATGCCTGAATAATTTATTGTACATCCACTTATCAAGCGCTAATGCATTCCTTTTGTTTCTCCCTCTTTTTTTTTTCTACCCCCTTCTTCCCAGCTTCCCCTCAGCGTTCTCCGCAGTCAGCGGACGGTATATAAAAAATCAATAATTGTTTACGCATGTATCTCCTGTACACCGTTGACACAGTGTTCCTCCGTGTGCGTGTAATTTTGCATCCCGGTCGCTGTAGCCGTGCTGGCTTTCTATTCTTAGGAACGCTGTCATCTTGAATGGGTGGCCTGAGATATCCCAGGGGCTCATGAATATGCATTTTTGTGCTCTTATCTGAAAGGGCACACTTTCCGAGAGAATCGCCAAAAGTTGTTTCCCTGATGTTTTGCGTATCTTTTCTGATTTTTTTTTTATACGGCGCTGTATATGCTGTGTTTTGTGAAATGGTATTAAAAACATTTGCAGTGAAAGTAACCAAACTTGGCACCATTTCGTTAAATTTTTGTTACAACGGCAGTGTTGGTACTGCTGCTTGCATGTGGGCAGTCGCGAAAAACACCCAGAGTCCCTTGACACGCGCGTCAGCATTTCCATTTTTTGACCAGCGGTGTGAAGTATGGATCAGCAATTGGCAACCTCGGAGGTGAAATCATCCAAGCCCTAACGCACGGTTCAACGGCCGCCATTATCGATACGACAGGAATACACTCAAGAAGTAATAATAATAAAGGAAAAAAAAAACACCCCAACCACAGCAGAGTGTACAACAGGGGCGCAAGGAAACCAGCTCCCGCGAGGCGAAAGGAAGCGCATTGATTAGATTAGGGCTTCTTGTCAGTTCTTCATCATAACTAACTGTTGAGATCAGCACGGAGAGAAACCAAGAGACACGAAGAAAAGAAAAAAAAAGGGGGGGGGAAACAACATCTCGGCAGCCTGAGCAGCCATCAAGATGAATTTGATTATGTACACATTTTAAATGATTTACGGCGCTGTCATATTATCATCTTCATAGAGTGTGTGATTGTCATGCGAATAAATGCCTATTCTGATTATTGGATTCACACCGATGTATTATGTACCAATTTCTGGCTTAACTGTTTTGGTGTAATTGTGAGGAAACTTTTCCAATATGACATTGATGAAACATGGGTCTAAGAATATTTTTGCTTATTTACAGGTAAATCATTTGAATTATCGACTGATATGTTGCTCTCCTTTTTTTGCCCGTGTACAATTTTTCCAGGGAATTTTTTTGTTTTACTTGTTAAAGGGGCGTGTGATGAACATTGTAAATAAACAGAATACCAAATTCCAACATACGTTTTAGAAATTCAAGTTGCATAAAAATGACACAAGTCATTTTGTATTTGGAATGTTTAACAGAACTTTCTGCCCAGGGAGGGGGGGAAGACAGTATTGCCGGACTAAATTCTTTTACATTGTAAATGGTCTGCATAGTGGGCCATGTACTCATTGTCCATGCACAAGATTAGCCAGATATATTCAAATGAGCCTCGTCTTCCAACCCCACTGCCAGCTCACAACTGACACTGTGGTGTGAATGACCAGGGATTAACCGAACACACATCTCATCATTTATTGTCACAAGGGGGGCTGTTGGATTTAACCGGCACACTCAAGTGTGGCCGTGTGGAGTGATGTACCTAAGTCCTGACTGGAGCGGCAGCAAAACCTGCCTACACCAAAAAAGCCTTAAGCACCATGAATAATTGATTCTTTGCCGAGCAAGGAAGAAAAGGAGCTCCTGGATGGAAGCGGCCATGAATCCTATTGTGTGGGAGGATTACAACTTGGAAAGTATGCGCCTGACATGACTGGACAATTGACCGGGTCTCTTGGCTATTGTGGGGCGTCTTTTATGAAGCACTGAGGAGCTTTGGACATCTCTGGGGTTTTCTTATTTGGTTTTTAATTCTTGTAGTTTGTGCACCTGTTACAAGTTAGGATGATTGTATTCGAACCGGTATGCCTCGCCCAAAGCTTATTAAAGGAAGGCGCTGGACATCAACCCGAGGCATAGTTGATATGGCTGGTTTTGCCCTGAGGTCATTATGACCCACTCTGCCAAAAGACCCCCAAGTCATATATGACTCTGTATGTAATAGACCATTCCGTACATTTGTTAGAGATCAATTCTAAATTTTACTGTATCGCGGGAATAGAATGTGCGACAGAGGTCAAAAACACGCAAATTTAATCCTTGTTAAAATGCCTCTCTATCCGTGGGCATCACTGAGAATCAATTTGTCACACTGAAGCCCAAGGGCCATTTATGCAGAGCCCGTCACAATTTGTCTGGCACCTTGAGGAAAGTGCCTGTAGCTGGCGGACTGTTAAATGTAAGTTTTGAGCCCTCACAATCTTTACCATGTTGTAGTTGAGACCCCTTAAGACCACCACAAGACCATCATAAGACCACTAAAGACCAGCACAGGACCCCACAGGATCATCAAGGATCCTTCCAAGAGAAGACCATTCCAAGACCATTGCAAGACCACCACAAGATCCCACAAGACCCCTTAAGACCCCTTAAGACTATCACAAGACCCCTTGATCACATGGCCCCCTTAAAACCATCAGAAAATCCCACAAGACCCCTTAAGACTATCACAAGACCCCTTAAGACCATCAGAAAACCCCACAAGACCTCCAGTCTGAATCCAATCGCACAAGCTGTTCAAATGAACTGCAGCAACAGCATTCCTTTGTTATTGTTCACACCCCTAGTTGTGACTGATCTTGTGACTGGTACCCCATTTGGTCTGGTACATGGTTTTGTGCATGGTCTGGTGAGGATCTCGTCTACTTCATGACACTGAATTTTCAGTACATGCACATAGAATGTTTTATACATGCAAACGTAAAGCTAGTCAGCTATACATGCAACCGCTGTGCCTCGTCCCAAATCTTGTGATCAGTCCAACCCCTCTTGTGGTCGAGGAAGAAGAGAAGGCTTCACTTTGCAGGCCGAGTTCTTTCATTTAATTTGACTGTGAGATGGAGAAATCCCATATTTATTATGGAATCCCCTTCCATCCACCCCCCCTCAGAAATTACCCACTCTGCACTCGTTGGTGGAGGCTGTCCGCTAAAACCTGCCGTATCGGGTTAATACCCCGCCAATCGACGGGTCATTCTTGTCGACTCCGATCACCCAAATCCCCGTCTCGGACTGGAAGGGAAAAAAAAGACACTGTACTGAGATGTGACAGCTGTATATTTATATTGCCGTCAAAGAAAGTGCGGGATTGGTCGAGGGAAATCAGTTGGAGAAGGAAACCCACACAACACCTGCCAGTGCCATTGGATGTGAAGCTAAAGGAATGTGTGTGTTTTTTTTAAATTACAAATACCGGTACCATACAGAAGCAGATTGTCTTCATAAAAATTTCTATTCATTCAGGCCTGGCTTGAAAAATAGACTTGCATCAGGTTTTCAGAGATCTTCAAGCGAATGAATTGAAGTGATTTGAGTCCAAAGGTATACAGTACATTGTAACTGTATATTGCAATTCTATACAAGCATGAAATCATGGTTTTGCAATCACTCCACTTTTTTTTGTCCTGTCTTGGAAGAAAAATTACTCGTATCGTATCTTGTAAATTGATGTCTGATTTTCAAACAAGTGTTGCCTCCAGCAAAGTTACGAAGATCCCCACTGTCATTACCAAGGCCTGTGGGTTTTCTGGGCCGTGCCTTCTACTGCTGTGACTGCATGATTTGTGTGAAAGAGCTCTATGAAGTTGCACGTTTCAACAATTTATTGGCTCGTAATCAGCACAGACCTGCTTGTGCATACTCATTACATGCAAGTGTTTGGCATGGGCTCTACCCTAAGCAAACATCAACTTGTAGACAATATTAGCACAGACTGTTTACAAACCTCCCCCTTGGCCCAGTGTTCAGAAGTGAGCCGCCTAGATAGTTTGCAAAACAATCCCTGATTTATGACGCACTTGTTAATTATTATTCTGTTTTGTAAACTAGTGATGGTGTTGGTTGATAAAGGGAGATGCTGTTGAAGAAAAAATCTGATCAGACTTTCAGCTTTTGTTTCATCATCTGGCGATAAAAATTGATGGATTTTATTCTGTTGGTTTTTAATTTGTGGAAGAACTGTTTGCAGTGGTCTGTGAAAAACTTATTCACACTAAGACCAGAGTTATCGCCTTATCAAAATTTTATCAGGAGGAACCTGTAATGGAATTGTTGTTACCCTAGCCTAAAATCTGATTGTTCCAAATCCATTTTTTGCTCATTTTCAAAGTATTTAGCCGCCAAGACCAAAACAGGAATTCCTTTACAGCGGACTTGATGTCGAAAGGCTGAAGAACATGCAACTTTGCTTCATGCCTCATTTGTATCTAGGAGATTTTTCCAGACAGTTTCTAAGAGAGAAATTATATTTTCACGAGGTACAATCCGTGAAGACCACAGTTAGCCACTTTCACGTTAATCGGTGTATAACCATGATATCTGTTTACTTCCTTGCAGTTACACTGTACGATAGCACAAGATTTTCTGGCTTAGGATGGACAACGTATCCAGAGCCACCTGGGGACGAGACATACACAGGGGTAAGTACCGCACCACCACCCTCATCAGACATCTTGAAAGGAGTACACGAAACTTACAACTTCGGAAGAAACTAGCTCTTTTTGCGTCCACTGGCAAAACCAACTGGGCCTCGGTGCTCTCCAGAGCCAGTGTCCCCACTGATACACTTTGCGAGGTGACGCCTAGCCCAGAACTCTACAGGACTTTTCACCTGCTTGGTAACCATTCAGTGTCGGTGCTCCAGTGCTACATCAGTCAACAAGCCACTTATGAATGGTGGCATGTTCAAATTTAGTTGGTGTGGAGTCTGTAGGGCCTACATGTAGCGATAACATATAAGTACGCGTCATGGAATAGGCCTTGCTGATGCCAGTGTCTGCGGACGGACGCAGTTTGGAATTCGTCCAGGAGCCCACTCTGAATTTCGCCAGAAAATGAAGAAATATGGGCAGTGAAGTACATGTAGTTTCCCTGTCAAACATGATTGCGTTGCTCCTTGAAGTTGTCTGAAAGTGACAGGTTTTTTTTTCCCCCTCAGAAGGGACACATTGGCTAGATTGTTGATGCTGTTTAAAAGCTGTTGAGTTTAAGGCAGAATCCTTTTTTAAAAGTGGAATCACAATTCGCAAATCGCAAATCGCAAAGATTAGAGCCAGTTTGCATGATTCCTTTTGACTCCCATGTCAAGTTTAGCATGAATTCAATTCCGGCTGTTCAGCTCTTGCAGAATTTCGGCAACGATTGGTCCAAGCTTAATATGAGTCATGGTGTTTCACCAAGAATCAGATTTAAAAGGAAAAGTAAAAAATACCGTGCCCTTGACTGCCCCTTTAAAGCTGCACCATGAACCTTACCTGCACCTTTAGCCAGTATGTGGGGCCATGCTGTCTGTGTCTGCCTCTCATCCCTTGCGTGTTAGAGGGCAATAAATACTCCAGAATGCTGCTTCAAGCCCCCTTGCCTCTCTGTAGTGCATCCCGACCAAAAAAAAAAAAAGAAAAGAAAAAAAGAAAGGAGGGGGGTCCTTAATGCAGCCGGTGGTCTCGGTCAGTGCTGTGAAGCATCGGTCAATAGTGTCCCCCCATTAGAAATCCAGCCGACATTCCTGTCGTTTGAGCGCAGTCCTTTAACTCCATCGTGCCATGTGATTATGACTGTGAGTATAGGGTTCTTCAGTCTCAACTTGAAGAAGCAGATGCGCTTAAGTTACATGTACCGGCACTGTTAACGTCCTTGTTTTCGTCCATCCTCGCCGGAAAGTTTCAACCGTAGAAAATAACGCATTATAGAAGTGACTAGCATTGACCGTGTACACGTTTTGCAACTTCTTGGAATGTTCAGGAGATTTGTAGGAGCCACAATTACGACCTTCATGTCGAAATCATAATGGCAGAATGGAGCATCCTGGACTGGTTAAGAACAGCTATTAGAAGTCTCAAAGACATAATATACTGTCAATGTTCCCCCATCCCATCTTGTGGGCCCCCTCTCAGTTAGACTCTCCACTCGCCCGTTTGATGTGTCTCGGGGCACCGTTCTTAACATTGATAATCTTTTTTTTTTTTTTCCCCTGCCTTTCTTGCTTTGCGCACGCAACAGTGAGAGTGGTTGGTGCCCCCGGGGCATGACGGATATCGCGCAGAAAGCGAGCCGGCAATGGCCCCGGACACATCACCATGTCTGTTGGCATGCGGATTTCTAATTACCATGCGAGTTTCTCTCTTGTTTTCCTCTACCCCCCCCCGTTGGTTTTTTTTTTTTCCCTTATGGGAAAGCCAGCGCCAGCTTCGGAGGCACTGTAGGAGGTCAGGTTTGGTCAGTCTCACGGCTCAGGAAGGGGGATCCGGCAGGGTTTTGATTCACACTTGTTGCCTGCAACCATCCAGTGACTGAAATTCCTTGTCAACAGCATATGCTGTATTTGATACGCACAAGTATTCAGAATGGAGCTCAACAGAACTCCATCCACGAAAGAGTAGAGATGCAGTTTTGTTCACATTCTGACATAGAAATGTAATCTGAATAAATCACTGTCAAAATGTGGGCTTCTGTGATTAAAAATGACACTCATAACCTTCACCTGGTTGAAATCTGGCCTCTATTTTTGTACTTGAAAGTTAAGTCGTGCACTCAGCACATCGTACTGTGTAGGCGGTTGATATCTCAGTTGGAAGACATAATTTTGCCCTTTAAAAAAAAAACTAATCACATGTAATCGTTTGTCGAATGTGTACATGTGCATGTACTGTATATTAGAGGATACATGTAGGACCTGCGTCAGTCGCAAATTCTGGACTCACTGAGAACAGGGAACAGCTTTGCCTGGTCTGATACGGCAGCCGGGTTAACCAACTGAAGACTGCTTCACTGGTAGTTTTAGAATGGAATTGTGCACGGAATTCCACTGTTGTTCGTTTGCACCGTGTTTGCTCACTCGTTGTAAGGGGCCACAAAGGGCAACCCAGCGCAAGAGAAGTGTGCGCCCATTGTCTGGGGGCGACCGCTGGGACCCTTTCCCACCCTTGAATCCGGGTAATGGGTAATGGACCGTGGCCATTATTTAGGTGTAAGCACATGTAGCGGGAGGAGCACGGACACCAAGAGCTGGCAGACTGCGGCTGGCCTGTCTAGACCAGAACCCATAAAAGCTCAGCACAACCTGATGGGTAGTACAGACACTTACTTGCAGATTAACCCAGCCAAGTCCTTAAAAAAAGGGGGGGGGGGTTGTATGTTTTTTAACATTCCAGAGTTCCAGTGTAGCTTGTATTTTAGGAAAGCACTTAGATTGTTTGCTGACTTAAAATGTTGTCCAACTTTTCTTGATTTATTAGCTTTTGTTTGAGATAGAGATAGAGATAATATTGTTACTCTAGATCTTGTTTCCCCTCCGTGATGGATAGGTGGGATTAATTATAGGCCTGTTCATGGCATTATGCAATCAGGAAACTTTTTACTGTAAAGCTTTTGGAAAACCTAAGTGAAGAGGAAGAGTTTTGCTCAAAGCGAGCTGAGGTACGGACGGATAGAAGTTCAAAATGGGTCATTTTCAGGAATATTGTCCACATGCTTGCAGGTGGACCTGCAAGGACCACAGAAGTCTCGATTCGCCTTGTGCGTTACTGGGATAGTGGCTTTAAAAATTAGATTTTTTGAAAAAGATCAGTCATTTTGTGCATGGAGAAGCATGCTCGAAGATCCCTTCGACAGTCTCCCCGTGAAAACTTTAAGTGCAGAATTTGGTCTGATTGTCAGATGTAGGCCGACATGTAGACATTCAAAACTCCTGACTGTCAAATATTTGGCTTCATAAGGGGTTCGAGATTTTTTCCCTCCATAAGTAGACGTTACATTTCCAATGGCAACACCACCCCACTTTTTTTCACCTCCCGCCTAATCCACCCTCAGCGGTCCTCGCTCCAAGCTGGGCGAATTCCCAACAGCAGCCCACACAACCCACCATGCCCCGGGGACTATTTATCCTGCTATATTTTGACAGATATCTTTTCTTTTTTCAATAGGCCGATCCCCAAGCACGATTAAATCCTTTCAAATTGCAGTCATGAACTCCTTTTCTGTAAACTTTCCAATCGCGATCACGCCTGGCTGACCGTACTGGTCATGGCACCTTTTAAGGTCCATTCAGCCATGATTCAACCCGCAAACCTCTAGACCAAGTCAGTGGCATTAACCAGCCTTAACCCTAAGTGGTGGCAATACCCCGTGCCGTTGTTTCCCAAGTGCTGAAATATTTATCATTCCGTTTTTTTATATCCAGTGGTAAATTTTTGGAAAGCCTTCTGGTGGAACTGAGCGAGCATTACCACACCACAATGGGGCATGTTTTTTTTTATGTTCTGGAGTACTGAGGTCTCTTGGTGCGATGGAGGATCCTGTACCTCTCAGCAGAGGGGACCCATGGTGTGACTGCGGTTGGGAGGGGGGTGTGATTGCTTGCTGGGCAATCATTTGCAGCCAGGTGCAGCCCGTCACTTCTCCTTATCACTCTCCGAAAATGAAACGTTCAAGGAATAGTAGCTGGCATCTTGAGGAAGGCCCAGTCTCCCCCCCTCCCCCATCCTGAAGCAGGGATCAGGTTCCCCTCATGGAGAAAGCTCTCAACATTTTAATCTGACCGTCAGGTTGTTTCAAGTCTTGAGGAATAATTCCTGAGTGATAGTAAAATTTAAGTCAGCTCCACACAATTAGGGAACATATCTAGTAAATGCATCCTCATTTTTACGTCAGCAAATGTTAGCATTTCTGTCTATACCGCTGAAAGACTTCACGTTTTATTTCCAGGGAAGCAGCAAACTTCTTCTCCCATCATATAGTCTTCTCCAAAGACATGTTTGTAAAAAAATTCAACTTATTCCACAATTTGCTATTGGGCTCCCCTGGCATTCTCTCCCGCACAACCCCTCCTGAGAAAGAGACCAATGTCCGACCTTTAACCTTGCCCTAAACCAACACTTCCTGTCGAACAAATAGGGCCAGAGTTGCCGGTAGCTACTGAAATAAAAAAAAAGAAGAAAGAGAAAAAAAATCCTCCTCATCCCAACTCCCAAGAAAAACAGTTGCACAATTTGGCACCTTGAGTGAATGGCGCGTCTCTTTTTTTTTTCGGAGGCAGGTGTGTTTCTTCTGGACTCATATCATACCTGCCAACTTGTGGCCCAAATTTGTCACTGTGTGCTCGCTTACATTCTGATTGGCTGCACACCCAGTAGTTGGCCTCCGGTCAGTAGACTCTGTCCGTTACCAGCTAACAGAGTGATTTTGCAAATGTATATCCTGCTATATTTTTCCCGGTAGCTCCCCTGACGAGAATGGTTTTGTTCCCTGAAATTGCCCATCTGTTCAAAACCACAAGGGTAATCAAATTTTGGGTGAATTTTTTTTTTCTTTTTCATGTTTTTTTGGGGGCGGTGAGTCAAAGGCATCTTTTCGGCAACAGTTGGCCAAACAGTGCTTGAGTGAATTGCAGTTTGACTGACCATCATGGCTTGTTTTGCTCCCG